AATTAACAACCACCCACTCACGTGGTAACAGTTTTCTTTATATAAATAAAGTTGAAATCTGGTAATGCTATTATATTGTGTATTAAAGAAACTGTGTGGAAGCTATACACATTTCTAGTTTGAAGGACAAACGTATTGGTATATGCTGTGAGACTTTGGAATCAAAATGATAAGATATTGACTCAGTCTTGTTGGTAGTTACATGCGTTGTACATATACTTTGGTATATGGGACTACACTAACATGTATGATGTATAACTGGTTTATAACCCTTGGTTGTTACTTGTCTTATTTTATAAATGTGAGAGTATTTAAAGAGCCATCCTTTTATCAAGGGCAATTTTTTATACGATAATCTCCCACTCAAACATGAAATTAATTTTAAAAAAGCTCACAAATTATTTCCACCTGTCGCTGAACCCTACCTTTAAACTGTAATGAATAATGACTATAGTAAGAGAGCATTCGATCATGATTGCCGATACCTGCAATGAAACATGTTGACGTCATTGATCCTAGTCTTTGGTCCCTCGCGAAGGTTGTAAGGGGGGGGGGGGGGGGTTAAGAGAAGGGGAAAAGAGGGAAAAACCAATAGAGCCTACACAATAGACATGCACAATACGATCATTATAATAGATATCCATAACTCATTAATCAAGTAGAGGACCAACTCAAAGTTGCCGCCACTCCACAAATGTTGAATTTGTTTGTGAGCCAGCCAGGGTACTGTGTGGTTAATTTGTTACGCTCTCGATCTTGACCTCAATCTATATTGTTTTATCTCCTCCTATCCCTCTCTTCTCCTTTCTCTATCTCTCTATCTTACTCTTTATTCTCTCTCTTTCACCTTTGCCCCCACCCTCTTTCTCTCTCTCTCTCTCTCTCTCTCTCTATCCTTCTATCTTTCTCTCTCTTTCCCTCTCTCTCTATCATTCCCGTCCTCCCTTCTCTATTCCCTATTTCTGTCTCTCTCTATACCTGTAACTCTATTGTCAGTTCTATGCACAGCACACCTACAATACAATAGAATGGTCCTCCAATGCTTATTTATTGCACAAACCTTAACATTAAGTCTCACAATCCAATACACAGACAGGAGGAATCACATGATATATGTCACCATCTTAATCTAAAAAAATTCCACTACTTGCCCCGACAATATTTTACCCTAAAACTGTGTTTGTTTGTTGTAATAAGAAAAACTGCTTTACATTATAATTATGATTCATGTGAATTGCCAACTGTCAACAAACACATGCCTACAATATCATGATATGGATATGTAAATATTGTGCCCAGACATACAAATCGAAATATTAATTTTGAGAACTTGGCAAGATTATTAGATTGTTTAAACCTTGATTTCAAAGGTCATTGAAGGGCGTATTGCAATCTGCTGCGGTCGGTTGGCAGATGCAGAGTTTGCACAGGAATATTTTACAATGATGAGAAGAATTACTTTCAGAAGACAGGGTTGGAATGTACTCTACCAAAGTTAACACTACTGTTACACACATACTTCTTTAAGGTATCAGTTTATTCACTTTTATTTTATATGATCATTATATTTTCATTAGTGTTTATCTATGTTGTTAAATCTTATGACGTGTAAAGTCATACAAAATATATATATATCTTGAAGAAGACAAAAGTCTACAGGTCCCAATCAATCACACTGATCATCATTCCTTCTAAGAGATGGACCATATAAAATGGAATTCCCCATTATATCATCCACTTGCTACTTCTCTTGGTTTTTTATATTTTGTATTAGGGCCCCGAACACTAGGTTTGGTGATCAAATATTATGTAAGTTATTCTCTTAAACCATTGGCAACGTTGCAGTATAACTTTAATCACTGTAGCCCTCAGCGACAGAATTCATTTATAAGAATTCGATCATGCGCTAATCAATATAATGGTTTCGTTCATTGCCATGGGACTGTCACAAACTAACACTCTCCAAATCAGTGCACAAGCAGCGGCGCTTCGTTAATTGATTCAGTAGCCCGTAATATGACAAGGGCAATCATTTATGAACATACGGACTACAAGCATTTTACTTATCGTAGAATAATGCAATAATTCTACTTGAACACCTTCATATAGGTACAAATCCTGTAATACTCTTTTTCCTTTAGGAAAGCTTTCACAAACAGGATCTACGATCGTATGAGCAGGTAATATCAAGAATATTCCAATTTTATAAAGATAAACGTATCTTGTGTTATGAATGATGATGATATAAGTTTTAATTAGTCTGCACGGTAAGGGGTTGATCATATTTCTATTCTGCGACAATATACTGCTATGGGCTAGCCATACTACCCTGTATATTCAATAATTGAATAAGCCAGCGAGGTGATCAACCAGTTGCTCTCACGATACTTGCAGTGGGCTTTAATCCGTCAAAGGTCAGGGGTAGTCTTCATGGTAACTTTGGGGTTCTAACTTAGGTTCAAAGATATTGACGATATTAGATTAAAGGTTATGGACCCTATTGGGTTTCGAGTTATGTTTAGTGATATGGTCCCTGTTACATTATAGGTTTAAGGTTTAGAGATATGGTCACGATTTGGTTTTCACTAAGGTTATGGTCGCTATTGGTTTTTAGATTTAAGATTTAGGGAGATGGTCGCTAATTGGTTTTTGGTAATGGTCACGGTCGCAAGTGGGTATAAGTTATGTTTAGGAATAGTATTGATGTCGAGATTAAGGTTTAATGTTTAGGTTATGATCATATTTTGGTTTAAAGTTAGGTAAAGGTTGTGGTCGATTAAATGCATGATGAAATACTTTAAAATGCAGATATCTATTCGTAATTGTGTTATATCAGGGATAACTAATTGTTTAACATACACATGTCATTGGGAATTGATACAATGAGAATTATATCAGAAACTATTTAATTGATTTTTTTTTTCATCTTCAACATACAAATCAGAATACAATTTAGCAATTCAACATTTCTATTACACAAAATACAACAAGTTTTTTGAACGTGTATACAATATAATAATATATCATGATAATAAGACAACTTGTTACCATTAAGACAATACCATTAAGAAATTTGCAAACAAAAGAAGGGCTTTTACATTAAGCGATTGCTTGATAGCGTGACAGACCGGGGTAGGGAGGTTAAATATGGTGATATTGATGATGGTGATAGTGTTGATGATAATAATTATGGTGAAAATAAAAATAAGAATATGCTGATGTAAATATGCCTGATACAGAATATGTATGTTTTGTCGATATCTATTTCACTTCATCACGGAATTCCTAATTTGGTATATACCAGCATTACCTTATCATGTATTTATTTGAATACACTACATTATTCATTTGACAGTGTCTGATGGTTCGTCATAAACATGGGATGTTCTGCGAGTACTAGACAGATTTCGCCGGTCAAGATAGTTGGATGTTCTGCACAACCGAAGGCGGTTGCTGCACTGAAGCACAAGGGAAAGGCGAACACTTTAAATGTGGCGATTCTGCCTACTATCGACGGTGCCTCAAAAACATTGACTTACATTTCGGATCGGAGAGTTCAGTGACCAGATCAGAACATTGCTAACTCTTTTCAAAGCCAGTATCAAGCATTTTAAGGACTGTAACGGTTTTCCATGCACCTCGTGTCTTAAAATGATGAAAGACATCGAAACAGTTTCAGAAAACAGCAAAATTGATCTGACCGCTGTAGGGGATGGTTTGGGCATTGACACCGACTACTGCGAAATGTTTGCTTATACGTGGAAAAGGGGAGCTATGTTACAGAAGATTAAAGACGCTGATCCACAACAACAACTATCACATGAGACCACACAAATGTTTACATTTTATAGCGAACTGATTGGTTCCGCCATGAACTTTACGGACCAGTCTGATTACTTCTGTTTACAAATGGAAGAAGATGGGTGCCTGTCTTTGATTGTTGATTGGTTTCTACACCTCGTGGAGAGTGATAAGGCGATGAACAAATGGGTAGATGACATAATGTTTCATGCGATGAACATATTGGAAAACGCATGCAGGAGAGTTCCGTCTCTGGCTCCTAAGCATCACCGGGCCGTGCCTGCCTTGTAAAAGTTTGGCGAGTCGGAAGACAGCTTGACACAGACAATAGCATTCACGACTTTGGCAAAGCTGGTTAATAAAGAAGAGGCTGACAAGCTTTCCACCAACTACACCTGTATTGTATCACTACTTTCGCAGTTGAATACATGTCTCTACAATCCTGAACACAAAGCATATATAGAACGAAAGTCAGTCAGGGGGAGCTTCGATATTGGTGTTAATGCAGAGGAGATAATTCAATCTGTAAATGACCTGGCAATCAATGACAACAACAAACGGCTCATAGTAGAAGAGAGAGGCATTCCTATCCTCGCTAACTTTCTCAAACGAGATTGTTCCGTGGAGGCAAAGACTTCTGCCGCCAACGGGATCTGGAGACTAGCATTTCTCAAGGAAAATAAAGAAAAACTGCGGCAAGATAAGAGTATTATTAACAGTAACATTCTCTATATTTTTCTTATCATGATAATATGCGAGAGTAATGCCAACAACTGCATACGTAAACACGGCTTTAGATTATTATGATGGATTATCATTTGCTTAAAGTTGCATCCAAAGGCATGAGAAACTGTTGGAGGCGGGTGGTTAATACTGAACATATTTGGATAACCGCCACAATATTATGCATATCAAATATGGGGGAGGGGAAGGGGATGGGATGTTTTTTAAATGATTGTTGTTATAATGATTAAAGAACGAAATCAGTTCATGAAAAGGAGCTTTAAGATTGAATATTCTCAGCATGGGCTTAAATAACATAAAACGTTGAAGTGAATGTTCTTCTAAATTATTTCAAAGGAAGCATGTCTTGTTTTTAGAGATTAAAGGGCGTCATTAAGTATGTGTTACAGGTCATAAGTTAACGCCCTTCTGGCTCTAAACAGACGTTATAATATTTGTTTTTATCACCAAACAAGATCTGAAGAAGAATTCCAAGAGTAAAAATGAAAAACTCCACAATGCGTGTATGGGCGCTCTTTTCGAGATCTACGAATCCAAACTTCCCGAAGGCCTGACGCAGGGGAAAACAGATGTCGACTCACAGCAGAGGGCGCCGTCGGACACTGCGAAGTCCAGTGGACACATCATGCTCAGCTACAAATGGGAACACCCATCCAAACCTGTGATGCGAGAGTTCAAGAAACAGCTGCGCAAAAGAGGTTACAACGTGTGGATGGATGAAGACCACATGAGTAAGTTTATCTGCATACACTTCTCTTAGGAAGAATGACACTTTTCATTTTCTTAATATCTTTAATGCTTGTCTGTTTTTTTAAAAGCTGGTAATTTCCTAAGGTGGATCGAGCAGGTGATTAAAGGAAATTAACTTGTTAACAATATGTTCTTATTTGAGCGTTAACTTCTGGACCAACATGGCTATTGGTAATAACGTATAATTCATATTAACTATCCCCAAAGCTAGAGCTTGATTAACCATTGTTTTTGTTCCTTCTCTTCTTTCCTTCTTCTTTATTTTTCTTTACCCTATTGTATTCTTCTTTTTCTTCTTTTACCCCTTTATTCTTGTCCTATCTTTATGTTCTTCTCCCTCTTCTTCTTTTGTCTCTTTTTCTTTTTCTTCTTCTTTCATGATCCTCCAATTTGTTTCTTTTTTGTTCTTGTTCTTGTTATTTCTTGTCTCAGTGGGTGATAAAATTGGTGCCATGGCAGAAGCCGTAGAGAATGCTGATATGATCATAGCTTGTATCACACGTGGTTACCAAGATAGTCAAGACTGCCGTACAGGTAAGAAAAGATTGACCTCTTCTTCTGATTGATGTCAGTTGACTTAAAGGGAGAGGGTACTCAGTGTTCATGTGCAGAAGCTCATAATTCGCTGACACGAGGCTTGGTGGAAATATCATTAAAGGGCCACTCGAACGCAACTAACACAGCCTTTCAAAACATGAATGCACCTCTACTTATTAATATTCCAGCCTCCATTGTTTCAGAAAATCTATATATTGACCAACAAATGATAATAACCATCGATTGTTCATAGATCTCACGCTTGCTGGGCTACACCCCTCGTAAAAAGGCTATACACGGTCACGAGGCTTGATGATAAATTTGACGTCATTGCGGGAATGTCCTTGTATTTGGCCTTCAACTAAGGATCTTACAATCTCATTGTATTCATAATTAGGAATGATTAAATGGCCGGAAACGTTCTGGGGTTATCTAGTGCATATTATGTTTTCGGATAAATGTCTTTTTTAAAACTATTAATATCATAATTTGCCTTTTAAAAGACACTTTAATGCCGAAATCACACTCCTTTTCACCGAGAAGTCGCCAGCAGACACTTTTTGCCTAGACCATTTACCATTTACTCGAACTTAACGTTCTCAAAAAAAAATATTAAAAAATTATATAATATTTTCAGAAGCGTCTTATGCTTACGAATGCAAGAAGAAGATTATACCTGTGAAGGTGAATGACTTCAAAGCTTCTGGTTGGCTAGGCGGTATCACGGCAGGGAAGATCTACTACATGGTTCAGCAACCCGAGCATGTCTCCGAGGTACTCTCCGGCATCATCGAAAAAGAATTCGCAGTGCAGAAAGAAACGGTCCAGAACGTTAAAGCAGCTCCGGTATGTTACTTACACTGTAAGGAGAGAGAGGGGAGAGACAGATAGAGAGGTCTATATGAATAGAGAGGGCGAGTTATATATATATAGAAAGAGAGAAAAGATAGAGCGAGAGAGAATAAAAGAGAGAGAGATAGAGAAAGAAGAGAGAGAGAGATATATATATAATGCTACGGTCACAAATGTTCGTACGAACGATTCGTTCGTACGAATCTCCCTGTTCCTACGAATTTCAGAGTTCGTAGAGATTCGCAGATGGGGCAAAGTTTCTTACGTCCTTCTTACAGAGTTCGTACGAACGCCGTTTAATTCGCAAGAACAACTCAAGACCTTCTTGAGAAACGAAGATTTACGGTTATGCAATGGCCCCAGAGTTCGTACGTTTTTCGTAAGAACGCCTTGTGTTCTTCTTACGTCAGACTTACGCCAATCTTACGAGTTTTTGTTCTCGCAAGCTGGTCGTACGTTTAACTCACGGCATTCACAAGCCATTCGTAAGAAGATCTTACGATTTTTTTCCCTATTTGTTCGGGTTGCAAAAAAAGCGCTGCCGTATACTGTCGAAAATTCTATGACTGTTGAAAGTTTGATATTACACGATGACAGTATTGCCAAGAAGACTACAACTGCAACTGCAACTCCATAAAATGTTTCTTGAACTTGCTGTTAGCATATCTGTTACTTCCTTTATTATAAAAGCAGTCATGTTAACCGAAGAAGTCAACAAGTTTTTGCTCTGGGGTGGCATCAAAGTCGTAGGACTACTTCTCCTTTCTTAGTTTCCCCGTTACCTCATCTTCATCGCCGTCAAACTGCCATCTTGATGGTTCTCCCTCCTCCTCGTCGTCGTCATCTTCCACCGCCTCCTCCTGGTCGCTTCCGATATGGCCATCATTTCTTGATATCAGGCGCGCCGAAAGCAGTTTGGGATTGGGGTGGCGAAAATTCCAGGGGGCTCACCTTCCAGGGGCAGTGGCGTAATGAGCAAAATCGTTTGGAGGAGGGGGGGGGGGGGCAGAAGGAAAATTTGCATCACCACCACTCCTAGGCCTACATGTTACATGCAGGCCCCACGGAACATTTTTCAAAGTGGAGTATTAACGATCAGGTTAGAGTGTAGCGAGCGTAGCGTAAATTGGCGTGAGGTCCGGGGGCTTTGCACCGGCGGGGGTCAAGGGACTAAGCCCCCGGAAGCTCATGGTTTTTAGGCATTAAATTGCGGTCAGATAAGCATATTTAGATACCTTATTTGTGTCACTGGCAGGTCACTAATTGTCGGGGGTTCCAGGGAGCAGAGCCCCTGGAAGCTTAAAGGTTTTAGGTATTCAATTACGGTCAGATGAGCATCCAGGGGCTGTCTTAGGGCCCTTGCTGGGGTCCAGGGGGCTAAGCCCCTGGAAGCTCAAAGGTTTTCGGCATCTAATTACGGTTAGATGAGCATATTTTGATATCTCATTTGTGACATTGGTAGGTCACACATTTTGTTCTCTCTCTTTCTTTCCTTTTCTCTTTTTTAAAAAAGTGAGGGGGGCTCGAGCCCTGAGCCTCGCCGTTCTGCAGGCCCTGACATGAAGGCTTCTAAATAAGCATATTTTTAGGCTAATTTTTATGTTAATTTGGGAATTAGTAATTTTCAAACAAACGCATAAACAGATATGATTTACACAAAAAAATGAGAAAAAATACCGGAAAATCATGTCATTTCACCAACGTTTGTGAATCGCTGGTATCGAATTAGAAATAACCCCGCCCATTAGTACGCCACTGTTTAGGGGCTCATGTCTTCTCACCACTACAGTAACAAAAATAAAAAAACACTTTCCCATCCTCTTACAATATTTCCACGATATGCCCAAATCGCATATTCTATAAAAACCTCCATTGATAAAATGTAGGAGCAAGCGGAACGTATACGAAATTTAATCCCTATTAACTTTCCTTTTCTTTGAATAGAATATAATTTATATGTGATTCAATTCAGGTTTTGTTCTTGCCCCCCTGCCCCTCCCCCCCCCCCCCCACTTCCGGCGCCTCTGCTTGATATTGTTGTTGCTGCTCTCCTCCTCTTTCTCCTTCCTCCTCATCTCTTTCCTTAAATTTGTTTCCCTTCCCTCTCTTCCCTCTAACAGATTTCCCCTTTGGTCCCATATTTCTTCGACAGGAGATGCACCCCGACAAACACTATGAACATAGTGTGGCTTTATAACCGTTAAAACTCAACATTTGCATAAATTGTGTACGTACATCTTACGAGCACCTTACGAACGTCTCACGAGCGCCATGAGTCATTTGTACGAAGACCATAAGAATCTCCGCTCGTAGGGCGTTCTTACGAACGCCGTAAGAGCCCTCTATGAACAACTTGAGGCGTTCTTACGGTCATCGTAATAATTTGAAGCTTCTAGAATTGTCCCTTGACCCTACGAAATGTACGTAGATCTTGCGTGGTTCTTACGATGTAAATACGGCGTTCGTACGGCCGCCTTACGAAGAGAGGGTTTCGTACGATGTTAAAAAAAATCTTGGACAAGACCATCGACCAATCTGCGTTCTTACGAACGGTCTACGAACGGTCTACGAACGCTTGTTTCGTACGGCCTTCTTAAGAAGATCTTACGAAATGGTCTGAAAATTGTTCGTACGGCGTTCGTAGCAGCCCGTAAGGGTATTTGTGACCAAGGCATTAGACAGAGAGAGAGAGAGAGGGAGCGAACAGAATTGATGAATATATGAATATATCTTTGTAATAATAATAATAATAATAATAATAATAATAATAATAATAAGTTTATATCCTTCTTTTTGGTCCTTGATAACGTGATGAGTGGCTACTTTGTGAGATTTGTGTAGATATTTTTTTTCAATAAATAACACCCCTTCTAGTTTGCTTCATACTTATGCATGTTACTTAATATTAATATAATGCATGGTATAATTATAGCATAATATGAATATGAATACGCATTAGCCTTGTTAAAAGTAATAACATGTATATTTACAATTAGAATGTAAATATAAGTGAGTAACAATTTAACAAGCTGGAAAAAACAAGGCATATTAATTCGAGTAAAAATTATCAGCTTTCATGGCCAATGATAATTATGTTGGTTGTTATGCTTATAATTATTTTGAGATATTTTGTAATATACATATATATATATATGTATATGTGTGTGTATTTTAAAATGAATTTCGTTTCTTTACTTGTGCTCCATTTTCCTTGAAAGCTTCCTCGTCCCCAGAGCTAGAACTGAATCCACCTCCGATGGAATCTCAATTACCCGGATGGGATTCCAAGAAGGTCCAGGACTGGCTGGCAGCTAACAACGTCACAGCACGTATAAACAAAGCTTTGAAAACTCTCAATGGAACCCAGTTATTGCAACTGAAGAAACTACTGGTCACAGTCCCACAAACTTTCTACCAGTCTATGAAAGATGATCTTAAGGTCCCCTTTATTGATGTCCTATCACTTGCTGCAGCTCTTGAGAAACTAAATTAAGTGATTATTATAATAGTGATGATATGAAATGTTCAGTTTTTATTCCACACAATTAATCCCCTTTCCATTGTATTTATCAATTGATAAATAACCTAAAGGTTTCGAGAACATTGAACACTAAAGGTTTCGAGAACATTGAACTGTTTCATTGCATAAGTAATCTATACCGGTGGTAAAATGACTGACATGGAACTAATCAAGACCGGAAATAGGTAGTTTTGCAAAGGCATTATGCTGCCCGAAAGCAATCTTTAGGTTTTGGTTGTCTATTATTATGTGCAAAAGTTCACATGAGATTTAGTGTATTTTTGCCCTTTAATTTATAAGATTTCCTATCAAAGAGTATAAGAGAAGTATAAAGATAGAGTAATGTACAGTTTCTTAGCACGACATGGTACCCGCCATTTCTTGATAACGTAATACCAAGAGCACCTACCCTTTTATGGATAGAATACAATATTCCAATGTCTTGTGTCAAGACAGTAATCTGCAGTTGACACTCTCCACCCAGGTGATGTAAATGGATACACTGTAAATAGAACTTCCTCGAATGCCAAAGCACGTAATCAGGACCGCTTGGCGTATATCTAGGTAATATTATATGTTTGATCAATGAAATCCTGTTCAGTGATTTGTCAACATAGCATCACGTGACCAAACATACCATTGCTATGATGTCACCGTGACGTCATCTATGGTGTAGTGCACTATTCCATAGCACTATACCATGGATGACGTCATATATATACGATCGATCAAGATAAATGTGCTATCGGTCGCGGTCGCGCGTCTGCGCTGCACTCTTCACTACTTCAGTGACAGTAAACATTATTATTATCATTATTATTTTTTGGTTGGTTTGAAAAATATAAAACAAATATATCATGCACTATTTCAAGCCACTAGTGAAATTATGGATTCCTCGGCGACAGAAAAGCTATTCCTGCCACCTCGATCCATAATTTCAACTAGAGCCTCTCAGTGCATGGTGTATTTGTTTACTGGTCCACTGTTTACTGGTCCAGGAAAGGAAACATTATTATTTAAGCAATACATACATTTTACTGCCATTATCATTATGGAGCAATGTTTATGTGTGTACATTATTACTTTCCACCAATGTGATGTATATGGATACACTGTAAATATAACTTCCTCGAATGCCTAAGCGCGTTATCAGAACCGCTTGGCCTATATCGAGGTAATACTAGTACACGAAAGGAACATTAGTACTCAAGCAAAAGATACATTTTACTACTATTATCATTACTATTTTTTTCTCGCACTCTCTCAAAAGTTACTGCACTTTTATGTGTGTAAATATGTGTGTGTTTGTGCGTGTGTGTGTGTGTCTGTGGGAGGGGGGAGGGATCTCTCTAATTGTACATTATTTTGCATCAAATTCACCTAACTTCTTATTTTGGGCCTGCCTCAAAACAGTTAAATATGAGTTGTTGTTTTTTGTTTTGTTTTTAAGTTCCCACATTTTGCTTCAGGACATAAATAATGATAAGGGTAATATAAAAGCAACATTGAAAACTACAAATAAAGCTCTTGGCTTAAAATCATGTTCTAAACAATGTATTGATGAAATTAATGTTGATGGTAGAAAAATTACAGACAAAAATGAAGTATCAGAAATATTTAATGAGTATTTTGTAAAAATTGGTTACAATTTAACAAATAATGTTCAATATTCTAATTAATTTTATCAAAAGAATCTTTAAAAAATGATAAAACTGCATTTTTTTCTCCTGTAACCTGTAAAGAGATTATTGATATAGTTTTTTTTTTTTTTAAATGGAACTAGTGCCGGATATGATGAAATCGATGTTTAATAGTGTCATTAAAAATTCATTCATATAATTGCTCCACAATTATGTTCTATATTTAATTCTTGTATTTCATATGGTGTGTTCCCTACTCAATTAAAAATAGCAAAAGTGATCCCAGTTTTTAAATCAGGTGATGTTAGTTATACAAAAAAATACCGCCCAATATCTGTCTTACCTTTATTTTCAAAGATTTTCAAGAAGTGCTTATACAAACGTTTGAATGATTTTCTATCTTCATGTCATATTTGTTCTGATAATCAATATGGTTTTCGCTCCGGACACTCCGCATCGATGGCGCTTCTTGAATTAATTCACAAAGCTTGTAAAGCTATTGATTCTAAAGAATACATGGTTGCGATTTGCTCAAAGCCTTCGATACATTAGATCATTTCATTTTGTTGAGCAAGTTGGAAGATTATGGAATTCGTGGACATTTATTATTATTATTTAAGAGTTATTTTTTAGACCGGTCTCAATTTGTAGTTATCAATTATCATAACTCTTCAAATAAGCAAATTCGATGCGGAGTGCCCCAATGGTCTATATTGGGTCCATTACTTTTTTGGTTTATATAAACGATATCATTACTTCTTCTAAACTCTTACAATGTATTCTTTTTGCAGATGACACCAGTGTGTACATGTCTGGAAGTGATCTGAACATGTTATTAGATACATTTACTGTCGAATTACATAAATTAAATGATTATAAATATTGATAACAATCAATTTATGTTATTTACAAACAGAGAAGTTGAAGATGATAATTACATTATTCATTTCAATGGACAAGCTATAGTTCGTGCTTCTTTCACTAAATCTCTCGGTGTTTACATCGATGATAGATTGATATGGCATGAGCACATTGGTGTCATATGTAATAGAGTTGCTAAGGGAGTTGTTATTATTTATCGATTAAGACACTTCCCAAGATATATTTTGATTATGTTGTATTATGCCTTGATAATTCCGCACATTTATTATTGTAATATTACATGGTCAAATGGTTCTGATTATTTTATGACGAAATTATTTAAATTACAAAAGAAGGCTGTTCGATTACTTTACGATGCCCCGTTCAATGCGGGCTTAACTCCGTTTCGTTGACAATCAGCCATACATCAAGTCTTTCGTCTAGAGGGGCTTTTACACCGGGCCTTGCGTAGAGTTGCGTAGAGTTGCGTAGCGACTACGCCGATCGTACGCAACCCTACGCAACTGTACGCGGAGGGACGCAAATGGGTACGCGAGATGAACGCAAAAAAATAAACATGTTTAATTTTTTTCGCGTACCTTCGGCGTAGACTTTTTACGCAGAAACTACGCAACTGTACGCCAAGCCTACGCAACCGTACGCCAAGCCTACGCAACTGTACGCCAAGCCTACGCAACTGTACACCAAGCCTACGCAACAATACGCTACCCTACGCCAGTCCGACGAAGCATTAAAAACGTATAAAGATTTTTTGTTGTATATACCTGGATGTAAACTTGGCAGGTATTGATCATTATTTTGAAGGGAAATGCTATTTTTGTTTACATTTGTGCGTTCTCACATTTATTCTGTTCATGAACAAAAAGGTTTTTTTTTAACTTTATTTTGTATTCTTGCTTGTAATTCTGTTTGTACTACCACAAGGATTTTCAGACTAACATGTTTTGCTTGTTATGGTTTATTCAATTTGTGATGTTGACCTCTCAGGCTGTTGATATAATAAACAGAGATAAGACTCACAAACTGATGCCTCATGCGAAATGTTATTATGTTTTGTGGAAATCTGTATGTATTTGTGTCGGTTTGTTTGCTTGTGTGTACGTTTATGGCCCTGTTTGTATGTTTGTAAAATAATTTTGTTTAATTGAAATGAGCAAAGAAATAATTTTGTCTCACTCTGTTAGTGAGACTGAGTGAGTGTGTATGTCAGAAGTAATAAATGACTAACATTTATATCATTACATTGTCACATACATATACGCTACGGACAAAGGACAACAGCTATCGTCTTCAAACTTTCAGGAAACTGTTATGGAATGATATTTACAAATGAGTGAAAAAAAAGGGATATGGTCAACAAATATCAGACTTCTGTCCACATTTATTCACAAATCAAAATAAGCGCTCTTTTGTTGGCGTTTTGAGGTATCGAATCACATCACGTGACCTTGCAATGTACATCAACAGAAAGTTCATTTATTACCCTTGTGAATGATTATAATAATGTAGTACATCCATAAAAATGTCTACATTTTTTGGAAAATAATATCTTGAACAAATTAACATTACTGCAAAATAGCCTCAGCAGTTGTTAATGTCTACCAAAAAAAAATGAAAATATAACGGTCAAAACCGTGTACCCAATGCGACTTTTGGCAACACTACGCCAGGCCTACGCAAGCGTACGTAACCCTACGCCAGGCCTACGCAAGCGTAAGTAACCCTACGCCAATTGCCTACGCCGTAGGTACGCGATGCCTACGCACAGGGTACGTAACTATACGCAAGCCTACGCAAAACCTACGCAGGGACTACGCCGAAGCATCAATTTATTCATGAGTACGCAGCTTAACTTCGGCGTAGTCGGTACGCAACACTACGCAACTCTACGCAGATCCGGTGTAAAAGGGGCTTAAGGGGCTTTCACACCGGGCCTTGCGTAGAGTTGCGTAGAGTTGCGTAGCGACTACGCCGATCGTACGCAACCCTACGCCGATCGTACGCAACCCTACGCAACTGTACGCGGAGGGACGCGAATGGGTACGCGAGATGAACGCAAAAAATTAAACATGTTTAATTTTTTTCGCGTACCTTCGGCGTAGACTTTACTACGCAACTGTACGCCAAGCCTACGCAACTGTACGCCAAGCCTACGAAACTGTACGCCAAGCCTACGCAAATGTACGCCAAGCCTACGCAACAATACGCTACCCTACGCCAGTCCGACGAAGCATTAAAAACGTATGGTATAAAGATTTTTTTGGGGACCTGGATGTAAACTTGGCAGATATTGATCATTGATCATTCTTGCTTGTTATTCTGTTTGTACCACTACAAGGTATTTCAGACTGACATGTTTTGTTTTGTTATGGTTTATTAAATTTGTGATAATTGACATCTCAGGCTGTTGATATAATAAACAGAGATAAGATTCATAAGCTGATGCCTCAT